GAAAGAAAAGATCGAAAAGACAGAAGTAAAGAAGAGGGAAAAAGAAAAAATCAAAAAAAATCGAAAAGACAGAAGTAAAAAAGAGGGAAAAAGAAAAAAGAAAGAAAAAATCGAAAAGACAGAAGTAAAGAAGAGGGAAAAAGAAAAAAGAAAGAAAAAATCGAAAAGACAGAAGTAAAGAAGAGGGAAAAAGAAAAAAAGAAAGAAAAAATCGAAAAGACAGAAGTAAAGAAGAGGGAAAAAGAAAAAAAAGAAAGAAAAAATCGAAAAGACAGAACGAAAAGATAAGAGAAAAAACGATAGAAAGATGTGGTAAGAGGAAAAATCGAAAAGAAAAATAACAGGAAAAAAAGAAACAAATGATCGAAAAGACAGAAGGAAATAAGCACGGAAATGCAAAGAAAGCTGGAAAATATAATGTGGGTTATCGCCAATGTGCTTCGCCAGTTTCGACAAGAAATCGTTAGAGGGCGCTGTTTTCCTCGCTGCTTGCTGGCGTGACTTCCCCGGACATGAGTATATTTTTCCCCCTCATTGACTGGACTCTATTCACAAACATTCGCGTCTGTCATTCACCCAATTCTTAACTTGTAATATCGGCTTTCTTTTGCATGCATACTGTGTATTTACACTGGGTGTTCAATATTTTCGGCCTTGTCCTACCTTAGAAAACGACCCTACTGTGTATTTGTATCTTCTTAGTCAGTTATATAAATAGATGAAAATTGCCTTGATGAAATTAATTCCCTTTACTTACAAAAGACATTCATATGCGCAAAATATGGTTATCACTGTTTTTAGTTTAGTTAACAGTAGTGCCGTTTCAGTGTGGCCACATCGCTGAAATATACCCAAAAAGCAACAGGAATAGACGGAAAAGATCGGAGGAAAAAAAAGGAACAAAACAATGAACAACAAAAAAAAAATGGAAGAGAGAAGGAAAAAACAGAAGGAAAAGGCAGGAAGAAAGTGTAAAAAATATAGAAGGAAAAGAAAGGAGAAAAAAGTGAAGATAGAAAGAAAGAAAAGAAGAGAGAAAACAGACTGGAGCAAAATAAAGTTAGAAAAGAAAGAACAGCTAGAAAGAAATAGAATGAAGAGAAAGAAAGTCAAGGAAATGATTGAAGAAAGAAGGAAAAAGCAAGAGAAAGAAAGAAATGAAACGAAAGAAATGTTAAAGAAAAAGAAGGAATTAAATGAGGGAAGGAAAAAAAGAAAGAAAAGCGACACACGTCGTGGCAAGCAAATTCGAAAAGAAAAAAAACTCGCATTTAAACGAAAACAATCACTGCCAGTTGTATTCTGGTATTTATAAATAAGTGAATATGGAAGAATTAGGCAAGGAAAGATTGCATATAGAGATTAGCTGATAGGCCTGACTGGTGGTCGAAATGGTTGTATTAACTAAAACCTCTATCTAAGTCGGGAACTCTAGAACCAAGCAGACGCGGAAGTTTAAATACCTGGGAAGCGTCTTGACAGAGGACGTAAGTGCGACACTGAGATCTGTAGGCTTATTGGGATGGCCAAGGACACATTCCAAAAGTTGGACAGAGTACTGCGAGACAGGAGGATTTCTTTGGTAACAAAGAAAAGAATAGCGAACTGTTACGTTACATGTGTCCTTCTTTACGGCAGCGAATGTTGGACTATTTCCTCAAAGATGAAGAAGAGGCACGAGGCGACAGAGATGTGGTTCTACAGAAGGATGCTAAGGATACCATGGACCGAGCGTTTGAGCAACGATAAGATCTTAGAGAGGTTGCAAACAAGGAGGAGGCGTTTACTTAATATCAGGAAGAGGCAGCTGAGGGTTCTGGGACACATAATGAGGAAGGAGGGCCTGGAGAATCTGATACTCACGGTTCGAACAGAGGGAAAGAAAGCCAAGGGAAAACAACGCGTGACATACCTGGCGGACTTAAGCAAGTGGATGACGGGACGTGGTCTGGGGGAGGAAGCAGAGGGAAGGAACTTGTTGAGAGATGCAAGGGATAGAGGGAGATGGAGGGCCATGATCGCCTACGTCCTGAAAGGACATGGCACATAAAAAGAAAGAATACAAAATCATGATTTTCAAAGCTGAATTTCACAGTAAACCTTCTTATAAAGAAAATTCGGCGCCACCGGATTATTCTATCCATAACCTTCCCAAAAAGACTTTGAACTAAGAGCTACTCAAGGTAGAGTGGTACTGTATAATTTTGTATGAGCGTAAAAGGAAAGAAGAAGCGCACTTTATGAGGTTATATTAGAAAGATAAAGGTCAACCCTAGACTTGAAGAGGTTATTGCAATGATGGGAAAAAAATCATGCCTACATCCTGTCCTACAAATCAGTAGTTCTTTGGAAGAACCTGTTCGAGTGGAACTTTCGCCTTATTACTGGAATACGAAAGGAATGGGGAGGAATTCTTCTTGTGTACGTGGTCTGGCGGGTCCCAGCTGCAAAGCTCAGGGCTGGTGAAACCAAAGAATGTAGCTCGTCAGAGCACTTGCCATGAAATTAGCGATAGTGTAACCAGAGACTTGCAACATTTTCATCGGTGAGAAATGAGTTTTAGGTTTTAGGGTGAAAAATAATTCATCGTCCAGAAGGTCGCCTAAAAGCTTTTAAACTCTATCAAATCAGCCAAGTGACGACTGGACAGCCCAACTGTAGGTAGACAAAATTATAGAGAGATAATGTAGCAATTATTATGTGATTCATGCTAGGAAATACCAGAGGTCTTAATCGAATTTAATGATCATCAAGAATCTTTGAATTTATACCAGTTTAATCTTTAATAATACCAAAGTACGTTTTGTACTCAGTGTCACCTCAGAACATCAAAAGATCTAGGCGCCTCAAAGGCTGACCTAGAAGTGGTTCGCAGAACGCTCAAGTGCTTAGTTTCAAAGTATATCAGTGGCTACACCAATATAAACAAGGAAAAGAACGCAGCCGAATTTAGGATATACACCTACAAACAACCGGATGGGAAGAAGTTATATAAGCGCCAGACCTCCGAGTGGAGAAGGCAGAATCGATTGCATCCTCGCAAGAAGAAAAGACCTGAGAAAATAATAACAGGTCACTCATATTCAAAGATACCTGTCTGCTACCTAATCCCTATTGAAGGCGCCCGCTCAGGCACATTTTGTTTGTTTACCACTGTTATAAAATAAAATGACATATCTCGGCTGATTTACAGGCAAATACTCAAGAGCGAGAGCCGGATGTGAACGGGACAAAGCCCCGTCACGAAATGACCATTATCTTTCTTTACAAATGTTCCCGACACACGTGTTCCGGTCGAAAAATAAAATAATAATTAAAGTGCTCTATTTTTCGTCCAATAAAAATGCTTCCCTCCTAATTATACTCGCTTCGTTTCTCGAGCCTGTTAAGCCATAAATAACGCTATAAAAGGGGTCACAGGGAAGTTCAGCAGCAGTCAACAGGAGTCAAAGGAGACCGGTCACGTTCAGCAGCTGTCAGCAGGAAAGCGTCAACCACCGTCAACATGTGTGAACTACTATGAGAGATCGACCTAGATCCGAAAGCCGGCTTATGAACTTTACCACATGAAGGTAGCTGTCCTAAACCCTTACGTTCCTGTTGAAATAAACCACGTAAATCTATTTCTACTGTTGTCGTATTTCTTTCTTGCAACCATACGCTTGTCTATAACAACACCCACAGAGCCCACTTGTGGTTTACACTGCACCTATGCTGAGCAGATCATAGTTACAGCTTCTGGGAGAGAAGTATGTTATCTAGCGTGATAAACACTCTGAACAAGGCCATCACGCTCAAACAACGATGACTTGTGACTTCGTGCTACCAAGGGTTCCGTCTACTCAATTTCACTCAGAAGGCGTGGGTCAAACTATGGTACGGTTTTCGAGCATTTTTCAGAGGTGCCTCACGCTGGGATCACCCTCTCCAGACCGATAATATCAAGAAATCCGCTTCCTGACAAATCGAGATCCGAACCCTGGTTTCATGATTAGAAAGCGCTTGGCCACGTGCTCATACACTTAATTTGCTGATGTTTATTTGATGGTGTTCAAAAATGAATTTATATATGTTCAAATTTAGTCGTTTTATCAGATGTTATCAGCATAACGTACAACCGAGAGACACACAGGTATCTGAGGTAGATAGATGGGACACACATCTTACGAGGGAAGACATATTTTCCATTTATGCAATCTGGCAAGTGTTGCTATTTCCATGGCAAATGTTCAAATTAGCTCCATTCTTGAGTTCAGACATTTACAGCATGTTCTCGTCTTTCTGCTTCCACGGAGCCGAATCATCCACTGTGTCCTGTAAGGAGAAAGAAAGATTGAAATCAGTTGATGAAAAGATTATATCTATTGAAGGATAAGCAGTACACAATATAAAATATATTAGGCGAAGTAGAGAGATACTGATCAGAGCTAAAAAGAGAGAGAATATCTAACAGGAAGGAAGAAAGAGAGTTAGAGCAAGTGAATTAGGAAACTGAGGGAGAGATAGAGGTAGGAATTGAGTGCGTGAGATCAGTTGGGAGAGAAAAGAAGAGAGAGGATAGAGAGGAAGAAAGAGAGCAGTAAGGAGAAAAGGATGAAAAGATTAGGGAGAAAGAAGGATAAAAAGAGATATAGATAGAGACAGAAAGAGAAAGAGAGGAGAGTAGGAAGAAAAAGGGAGAAAGAGTGTGAGAAATAGGGAGAGAATGAGAGGGATAGAGAGAATAATGTATTGCCGTAATAATGTTTTACTGGTAATTTTTCAAAAAAAAAAATGTATTGCTGGTATTAAAACCTATTTTACAAATTGATAGTATTTTGAATTATTTGAGCTAATAATAAACTCGTGATAATAGTCTTACTAATTAATCCATAATCCGGGGATGGAAGAATGGGATTCATACTTTTTGTAAGCGTATTTGAGCTTAAGTGAATATGACGAAACTGACTGGAATTAGAACTCGGTTCTCCGATTAACAATTCCGAGCCACACATCCAAGTTTACAGCACCTGGTATTTGCAAGCGGACACCCATCCAGGTACTAACTTGCTTAACATTGGTGATCGTACGGGAACTGGTGTTTCAAAGCTATATGACTGTAAGCCAGCCAGCTAGATAGAGAAAAAGAGAGAGAGAGAGATTGAGTGAATGTAAATTTCAGTGAGAGTATTTGATATTAGAGACAGAGAGGAATATGTTGGTGTCGAAAGTGATGGCGAGAAAATAAGTACTGAGAAAGTGAGAGAAAGTAAATGTTGAAAGAGAGAGAGAGAGAGAGAGAGAGAGAGAGAGAGAGAGAGGGAGAAGGAGAGAGAAGGAGAAGGAGAGAGAGAGTCGGTATTAGGGAGAAGAAAACGAAATATCACGAGATATAAATGTAGAAAGTGACATAAACGGTTGTAGAGAGAGTGAGAAGAAAGACGTTAAAAGAAAAAAATATGCGATTTGGGAGAGAGAGAGAGAGAGAGAGCGAGAGAAAGAAAGAAAGCGAGAGAGAGAAAGTGAGTGAGGGTAAGAGTGAGAAAGACTAATTTATATAAAGTGAGTGAGAGAGAGAGAGAGAGAGAGAGAGAGAGAGAGAGAGAGAGAGAGAGCAAGAAAAAGTGAGCGGTAAGAAATAAAACCTGTTTGAACGAAACCCCGCAGCACAGTGTAATAATTAAAGTGATCGGCTTGTCGTCCATTGATGACCCCGGGGTTTAGTTTCTTACTCATGGCTGCATATTTTTGACCTTTTGCCAAACTAATCTAAGCTTAATGAAAAAAAAATCAGACTGGGAAAGTGCTGAGGGTGATATAATCGAAAAGCGACGGAAAAATTTAAATATTTGATAGACAATACATCAGAGCGGGGGTATTGAGAGTGAACTGGGAGTATAGAGGCTGAGATAATGAAGCAGTGAGAGAGAAAAATAGTAGAGCTAAAGGGAAGGAATCAAAGAGACATAGAGAGGAAAATAAGAAGAGGCGATAGACAGCGAGAACGTGATTTTGAAGGAGAGACATGATTACTGCAGCACAACTTTTTGGCATTCGTTGCTAAAGTATCTCTAAGTATAAGTTTGGTAATTGATTCCATTCATTTTTCAACGTTACTCTGATCCCTTTTTCCTATTTTATCACTCTTCTGTGAAGTTCATCCCATGCTAATTTTGGCAGTGGTTATGAACTTTAGTGTATGTATACACACTCACACACACGCACACACACACACACACACACACACACACACACACACACACACACATATATATATATATATATATATATAAATATATTGAGAGAGAGAAAGATATATATATATATTGAGAGAGAGAACGATATATATATATATATATATATATATATTGAGAGAGAGACGGTATATATATATATATATATATATATTGAGAGAGAACGATATATATATATATATATATATATATATATATATATATATCGAATGAGAGAACGATATATAAATATATATTGAGAGAGAGAACGATATATATATTGAGAGAGAGAACGATATATATATATATATAGAGAGAGAGAGAGGGAGAGAGAACGATATCTATATTGAGAGAGAGAGAATATATATATATTGAGAGAGAGAACGATATATATATATATATATTGATATATATATATATATATATATATATATATATATATATATATATATATATATATATATATATATATATGAGAGACAACGAAAGAGAGAGAGAGAGAGAGAGAGAGAGAGAGAGAATAGATGAAATACCGATTATATTTGATAGAAGTGAACAAAGCTATACAGATGAGACGAACCAAATAAATATTCTCCGCTCGACTCACTTGTCAAAATCTGACCAAAGGACCTTTATCAGAATCTCTTCTTGTTCCGGCGGACAATGATTCACCGCCGTTTCTTAATAATAGAAACATCATTATTTCGAATCAGTAACAGAGTGCTAAAATTTCTGAGACACATAATAAAGAAAGAGGGCTAGTAGAATATGACACACATAAGACAAAAAGAACAGTGGCAAGAAGTGTGCAATCTACTTTGTGTAAATGGATGGCAGAACAAAGATTGGAAGGAAGGGGGAAAGACAAACCTTACTGAGTGTTATAGCAGATAGGAAGTTTGGCACAGCGATGATCGCCCACCTCCGGAAGAAACACGGTACATAGAAGAGGAATTAGCGTACCATGTATCAATGATTACGGCATATTTTGAAGCAGAAACATAGTTCGATGTTCAAGCTACTTCATATACAAGAAACGCCATCAACAAAAGCAGCATAATACAACAATCATTACCACCTACAATACCACTACTACTACCATAATCAAAACTACTGCAAGTAATACCACTAAAATCTCTACCATCATCCCTACTATCACCATCACAGACATCACGGCATCACCACCATCAGCATTACTAACATCATCTCCATCATCACCATCATAGCATCACCACCATCAGCATTACTACCGCTATCACAATTATTAACACTATCAACACTCTCACGGCCATCACCATTACTAACACCATCACGTCATCCCCGCTATTACCATTACTAATACCATCACCACCATCACCATTATTAACACCATCACTTTTATCACAGCATTCCCGCCATCGCCATTGCTACTTTCAACACCACCATCTTGGCATTACCACCATCACCATTACTAACACCATCACTACCATCTCAGCATCACGATTATCACCATTACTACTAACATCAATACTTTCATTAATAGTAACACCATCACCACCATCACGGCATCACCACCATCACGATTACTATCATCAACACAACCACCTCGGAATCCTAACCATCACCAGCATCACCATTACAAACACCATCACCACCATCACGCCATCCCTGCCATCACCATTACAAACACCATCACCACCATCACGCCATCCCTGCCATCACCATTACAAACACCATCACCACCATCACGCCATCCCTGCCATCACCATTACAAACACCATCATCACCATCACGCCATCCCTGCCATCACCATTACAAACACCATCACCACCATCACGCCATCCCTGCCATCGCCATTACAAACACCATCACCACCATCACGCCATCCCTGCCATCGCCATTACAAACACCATGACCACCATCACGCCATCTCTGCCATCACCATTACAAACACCATCACCACCATCACGCCATCTCTGCCATCACCATTACAAATACCATGACCACCATCACGCCACCCCTGCCATCACCATTACAAACACCATGACCACCATCACGCCATCCCTGCCATCGCTATTACAAACACCATCACCACCATCACCATTATTACTAGCATCTCTACCAGGACGGCATCTCCACCAGAACCGTCATTACCATTACTACCACCACCAACAGCAAAACTGCAACCATAATAGAACCTATTACCGACAATAAATCTAAGACAACAGGATATCAAAGTCTCATTTTCAAAACAGGCTCGTCAGTTCGAAAATTGGAGCCGCCATAACGACATTAATAATACCCAGAAAAATTAATTTTTTTGTGAACTCAAAAGGATTAAAAGTAAAATATACATAATAAGTCTAAATTATTTGATCCAAACTGAATATATATATATATATATATATATATATATATATATATATATATATATATATATATATATTTATGAATAAAAATGACAATAGGAAAAAGTGCGTTTCGTAATGGACTTTAAAAAAAAGAAATTAAATGAACAAAGTACTAATAAAAAAAAAAACTGGAATGTAGAGAAAATATAATGTATATATAATGTATGAAAATAGCGTTTCTCTACATTCCAGTTGCTAGGTACATTCTGTTTTTGTTTTTATTAGTTACTTTGTTCATTTAATTTCATTTTCGTATTTTGCTTTGATAAAGTCCACATTGGACGAAACGCGTCAGCAATCACCAGTTTTCCTATTGTCATTTTTATTCATAAATATTGTTTCTACTGGTTAAATCGGAGAAATTTATATATATATATATATATATATATATATATATATATATATATATATATATATATATATATATATATATATATATATATATATATATATATATATATATATATTCAGTAAATCAAGAAACGATTAGAGAAGGGTCTGCATTTTGAAATTTCAAAATGCAGACACAAAAATAGATACCTACTATCTCTGTTCATAGCAAACGGATAACACCAGCAACAAAACACAGCCATTAGTATTGCTTTTTAACAATGTCATTATTTTTATTATCGTCATTATCATTGTTACATTATCTATATTATTATCCTCATCATTATCATGATTACCACATAATGATAATTACGATTGTCATTATACCACCCTCAAATTTTTCACTTTCGTTTCCATCATTATTAAGGCTAAATTTACCGTTAACACATCAATAACTATTAGTAACATATTAATAACAATTAATATCACAGCTATTATCATTATCAGCATATTCGAAATCGTCTTCAGCACAGAAGCAGTTAGCTTTGAAAATACGAACATCATCATCATAATGCCCACAAATAGAACTTAGCGTAACCAAAGAGCCAGGCTAATAGGAGTGTATGCGTGCATTTACATGCGTGTATGTGCGTGTGTGTGTGTGAGAGAGGAAGTGTAAATTGCTCTGATGGCGCAGGGGATAGATCTGAAAAGCGTCAAGAACACCCCCTACCCAGGTGCTTGTTGAAAGGAACATCGCAGAATACAAAAACTACGATCTCGACTCAAAATTACAACTGCGTATGTATGTATGCATGCCCAAACGCATGGATACGTTAGTGTGAACCAAAATGCGTACACCTCTATGAATATGTGCCTAGGCGTATAAGAGTGTTACCCCAAACAAACATAGAAGTAGAATCCCTCTCCCATCAGCGAACATAGTCAAACAAGCATAAATAGATTCAATTAAAAAAAAAACAATTTGCCTGATGATCACAAAAGCCTGAAACCGAGGGTCCATACAACTTAATATGTTAGATCTATCACTGATATTGAGCGCTTTCC